CTGAATGGCCCTTGTTTAGTAAAATTCTGTCATCCTCTAACGTTTCCTGAGCAGTTATTAAGGGTAACTGAGTCAGAACTCTCTGAACAGGCTTTTGTTTAGGGGTTGCAGGCGCAGTTGAATTGATCTGGGAACTTTAAATTACACCGGGCGATTCGCAAGGAGACAGCTGCGTTCGGGATTCAGCAGGGTCCTGACGCGCGACTGCTGCCTGCAATGCTCCAACATTCTCCGGCAGTCGGAATATTGTCACCACATTCACTGCTCACTCTATGGTGTTTTGTCGCAATAGTGGGAGGTGGTCATCCGGAACCAGTGCTGTTGATTCCCAAAATGAAACGATCTCACCGTCGACCTGGTTGTCCTCTTTCTCCAGGCGCTAACTGTGTCTCTTTCCGACCTCGTGTTGACCGGATTTTCACTGCATTCTCCCTCTGTCTTCCCCACCACTTTATCCAAGTTTTTCATCAGGAGAGGTTTTATTGAGGGAAAAGAATAAAATAAGAACGGGTTGGGGTGTGGATAAGCGTGAAGTCAGAATGAACAGACTATTTAAAAATATCTAGATGCTGAGCGATACTCCAGTACGAAACTGTGTACACGTTGAAAACAGGAGCTTGCAGGTTATATGTCAGAACAGGGATCACTCGTTAAAACAAGGTTGGCTTATCAACTTATAACAAAGATCTGCGGACGGTGGAAATGCCGAACTAAAGCAGAAATTGCTGAAGAGACTCAGCAGGTCTTGGCGGCATCAGCAGGAAGTTCTGAGGATCACTGGACCCGGAACGTTTATTCTTGCTTTCTCTGCACGGATACTGCCAGATCTGCTGAGATTGTCCAGCAATTTCTGCTCTTGTATCTTGTTAACTCGTTGGTTGTGCAGGCGGGAAAGCAAAGAGCACTGAAACGAAGCAATGTGGAACTCTCCAAAAAGAGAAGTGCATGCGATTCTAGCCGAATGTATTGTCCCTCTCCCCACGCCGCCACCCCCCAAAGTTAATCACTTCGGCAAATAAATATGTGGAAACACAAGGCAGCGGCCAGCGCTAACAATTTCTGTAACCAAACAACTTCCAAAACCCGAAAGAACTGTGGATGCTCTCAATTAGAAACAAAAACGGAAATTATTGGAAAAGCTCAGGAGGCCTGGCAGCATCTGTGGCAGTTCTGAGGAAGGATCATTCGATCCGAAACGTTCATCCTGAATTTCGTCTCCACAGATGCTGAAAGACCTGCTGTGCTTTTCCAGCGATTTTTTTTCTAACTTCCAAAACCCCTCCGAGTCTCTGAGGCGGCACGACCCTGAAAGGATCCCGGTGTCGTTTCTGGGAAGGTGGTGGGCGGGGAGGGAACAGACCTTAATAAATGGTCATTTCTAACACCCATTCCCATTCCCTCTCCTGGCACTTCACGGTGAGGCGACTGGCCGCGCCTTAATCTGAGGCGCGCAAAGAGCGAGTGGGACTCGCACTCTCTCAGTGCGGTAAACACCGGGAGATGATGCTGCTGTTGTTGTCCAAACCGCCAGAAAACTGGAGCAGGGGTTGGGGATGGGGGGGGAATTATTTGTAAATATTTCTGTTTGGGAGAACGAGTCAATATTCCGGGCGGTGTGTCCACCCTCTCTTTGGGCTCTCAGTCCGATGGAAATGTTGGTGAGAGAAGCTGAAGTTGCAGGGAAGGTGTTTGTGTGTGTGTGTTTTATTTGATCTCACTTCGTCTCCAAACTGAAACGTGAAGAACAAGAATCAATCGGGGGAAGATCCCAGGCTGGGATGGGAGGACGCAAGCGCAGAGCTGTGTCGGGGGGTGATGGTGTGTGTGTGTAATGGGGGAGGGGGGTATGTGTTAGGTGTTGGTGGGTGGGGGTGGAGTTTATTATAAAGCTGCCCGCTGTGGGCTCTGCCATGGACATTTCCCGCCTGAAGCTGACGGAGCAGGGAGTGAGCCGGGTCACAGCAGACCAGACCATGGGATGGACTTCGACCTCATCACCAGCAACCGGACGGCGGCTGCGGAGCAGGGCTGCCGTTTTCGGCCCGTTAGCCTCGCCTGGCTCTCCGCCTTCAACCGTAGCAACGAGTCTCGGGCGGGGGAGCCGCTGAGCGGCGACTTGGAGGCGGGAGGCACTTCGGCCGCCGCCCGCATCGTCATGTCGGTGGTGTACTCGGCGGTGTGCGCCCTGGGGCTGCTCGGTAACGTGCTGGTCCTCTACCTGATGAAGAGCAGGCGGGGCTGGAAGAAATCCTCCATTAACCTGTTCGTCACCGGACTGGCGGCCACTGACTTCCAGTTCGTGCTGACCCTGCCCTTCTGGGCGGTGGACACGGCGTTGGACTTCAGCTGGCCCTTTGGCCGGGTCATGTGCAAGGTTGTTTCCCTGGTGACCGTCATGAACATGTACGCCAGCGTCTTCTTCCTTACCGCCATGAGCATCGCCCGCTACTGGTCGGTAGCTTCCGCCCTGAAGCCCAGGAGCAAGATGAGCGGCTGCTCGGCCATGTGGGTCAGCATCGTGATCTGGATCTCCGCTGTGCTGGCCAGCATCCCGCACGCCGTCTTCTCCACCACCACCAGCATCTCCAACGAGGAGCTGTGCGTGCTCAAGTTCCCCGACCACAACGGCTCCGGCCAGTTCTGGCTGGGTCTCTACCAGATCCAAAAGGTGCTGTTGGGCTTCCTCATCCCGCTGGTCCTCATCACGGTCTGCTACCTACTGTTGCTGCGCTACGTGACCAACAGGAATGTCAGCAGCTCCAGCGCCAGCCGGAGGTCCAAGGTGACCAAGTCGGTCACCATTGTCGTCCTGTCCTTCTTTCTGTGCTGGCTCCCCAACCAGGCGCTGACTTTCTGGGGAGTCCTGATCAAACTCAACGCCGTTCAGTTCAGCTCCGAGTACTACATCGCCCAGTCTTACATCTTCCCCATCACCGTCTGCCTGGCTCACACTAACAGCTGCCTGAACCCCATCCTGTACTGCCTGATGAGGAGGGAGTTCCGCAAGGCGCTAAAAGGCATGTTCTGGAGGATGTCCTCCCCAACCATTATACACATGCGGCCCTTCACAGCCAGCACTAAGCCAGAACAGGATGAGCAGAGGCATGTCATCATTCCGAAAAACCCGGTCCAGCCGGAGATTTTGTATTACCCCCCGGGGGTTGTGATGTGCAATGGGCGATATGACATCTTGCCCGCCAACTCTGCGGAGCCCCGCTATTAAGGAGGCTGTGGAATGAGTTAAAATTGTTCCGCTTTTCGGAAGAACGATATCATATCTCTCTCTAAACCCTTTCCAAATGGACCATTTAGTGTAAGTCTGCCTAGGTTTAGTCAACTCTCAAACGATTATCACTTTGCCATTGTAGTTCGATCGTGTCTCCAGCCCAAATTGCTCTGGGTTAATCGTTGTGTGGCTGAAACCGCAGCAGTGCTAATCTCAACATAAGCGGTGCGAACATACAGTCATATCGGACGCAAAATGTTAATTATTTTCTTTCGCCACAGATGCACCCACTGAGTTTCTCCGTCACTTTCTGTTTTAACGTTTATACGCGCCCCCTTAACTGCGAAATTTCCTTTCCGAAGTTAGCCACAATTGATGTCGACGCATAGGGATCCAGTTAATAGCAGAACCGCTAGGCAACAGTCATTGCAACCAAACATTATCCTATCCCGTGAGATTGTTGTGAAATAATAATCGGATTGGAACCAGGTACAGCTCCATTTAGTGTACAGCATCATACGCCACGAAGTAGGGCACACGCAATTTTCAGAACAAAAATAATTGCCATGTCTAATTTGGAAACTTTGAGTTCGATCTCTTAAATTAGTTTGTGGTCTTCTCGAACAATGAAAGGCTATGAATGATAGTAAATATCATGACACAAACTCAAGTTGTATGTTTTCACTTAAGCAGAGTGACAAGTTGAACAGAAAATACATGAATTTCATTCTGTAAAAGGCATAATTATTCAGCATCAGGTGAAATCACAGCATCTGTGTGAGAGGTTGCCACAGATCTGGAAAGCCCTATTTGACACAGAGTCGTTTTCAATTCAAATTGCAATCAACGTGCGCTCCAAATTACAGTTTATCTTCGGTTTGTCATCCTCCTTTTTCAGTCTGAGATACTCATTACAAAATTCTCCATCTTCACGTAATTCACCATTCGCATTCCAGGTGACAGATGAAAAATCTAAACGTCCCGACCTCTGGAGATTCTGATACACTGCTATGTTTATTTTTCAGGATTCACTGTTCACACTAGTAGATTTGCTAAAACTCCTCTTCTGCAGATGATATTATTTGTTAGAAATAAACCTTTATACTCGGAATCTGCATGTTTATAAAAACCAAAAGAACTGCAGATGCTGTAAATCAGGAACAAAAACAAAGTTGCTGGAAAAGCTCAGCAGGTCTGAGGAACTGACCCTTTCTGAGGAAGGGTCACCAGACCGAAACGTTAACTCTGTTTTCTCCTTCACAGATGCTGCCAGACCTGCTGAGCTCTATCTGCATGTTTATGTTCCTTAATAATAATGTAGACAACAAAGATTCATGATTGAAAGATTGCACAATTTTAATTATTTTCATATTCACCAGTTTTGGCACTTATAATTGAAAATTAAAGTTATGAACCAAAACTGTGTTGTAAGTATTAACTACTATTTTTGCTAAATAGATAATGATAGTGCTAAAATACTTTATTAATTGAGCATTACTATACTATTCATTTTGCATTGATGTAAAACAGTTTCAGATATACGTTGACTCTTATCAGAATTATAGTTAATATAATTTAAAAGTTGGGTTGATAATTTGACTGAAGTGCATTAGCTGCTCCAGAATGTAGTTCTGCATTGTTTGGGTTTCAGAGTCATTCATGTAGAACTGCAGTCAACAATGGCAAAATACTAAATCACCAAATCATACAATGCAGAAAGAGGAAATTTGTTCACTCCTATCTCTTTTATACTTAACCATTTAGTCCCACTCCCCTGTTTCTTATCTGTAGTTATGATTATGTTTCCTTTTCAAATATCTGGTCCTTTAATTTGAAGTCAGTGGATCCTTTATGACAATGAGGCATATTGCAACTTTGATTTAATCTGCTACTTTTGTACTGTCATAAATAGTTTGGGTGCAGAGTGAAGTTGCTAGTGCCAGTGTAACTTCAGAGCTTGGAGCCAGTCTAACTTCAGAATGCAGCATGTCAAGCAGTGTGAAACCCTTTACAGGTGCCTGGCTCTCACATCTCAGGAGTAACACCAGACAAAAACTTACTTTGGAGCTGGCTAAAGTGAATCATAAAAATGGACTCATATCTTCAATTCAACTTCTAGGTGCATAAGAATCAAAAATTGAACCATTTTGAAGAGTACAGCCAAATAGATGTTCCTTTCTCCACCATTCCAGCTCAAAAAGAAATGCTGCTCATGATTAAAAGATTTTAGATGCATACTGAGAATTTTCCTGGTTTGCAATTTTTGGGAACATTCTCTTTCAATGAACTGAGTTTCTCTGAACCTGTAATATTACTGCAAGCAAAGCAAGTGTTTAAAACAATAACAGTAAGTTGCTTTTATATAGCATCTTTTAGTAAAATTTCCCAAGACACTTAACAGAATTGTTAGAAGACAAAGTTTGACAGAATGAATTTGAAAGCAAGAAATTTTGTGGAGTGTAGTAAAGAAGAAAGAAACATAACTGAATAAATAGTTTAGTGATGGAACTTCAGACCTTAGAGCTGTTGTGATCTTTGTGGGGAAGCCATAAGACAAAATAAGCACATTTATTGAATTAGTCTCAGTGGAAGAAGTTACTTACAGGACTGTACTTCTTATAGCTTTTCTTTGTGTCATATGAATCAGAACCAACACTATTAGGTATGAATTAACAGACAAATTAAGTTTCAAATAAAAAAGTCACATCTAATTTGAAGTAGTCAAAATAAAAAAGGTATTTATATCACTTCTCACACAAAAGTGGTATTATGTGGTTATATAGTTCCACAGAATGTTTTTTATTCAAACACTGTAGGTCAGGAATCCTATCTGAAAGCAACTGTCACCTTTGAGTTTCTCAAGTACAATTATCATCAGTGAGGCAGCTTTGGCAAATTGTTTGTCAGTCAGGTCATGACAGCCCTAATGGTATAGGCTGTAAGAGTTTATTTTCAACTAACTAACAATGCCCCCTGCTTCACAGTTTGGTCACTTCTAGAACACCAGCGATCTTTTATAGACTCTACAAGCTATTAAAACAACTTTCCATGTATTAGACCTTCTAGTCACATCTCAAAGTACCTCCTCGAGCTCCTGTCTTCACTTTTGCAAAACAGAAAAAATGTAACTTTGTATGGAGACTAATTTGCTGCTCCTCCTCACAAGAATTCCCTGTGTTACTGTTTCTAACTTTGTCTGCTCTGTCTTTGTACCTGTGCATGGATTGTCTTCAACTTCCAGCTACTCTGCAAGTAACTCTCTTTGTGACTCTCCTTCAACTTTCCGCTCCTCTGCTGGTAGCTCTGTTTGTCTGTAACTCTCCTTTGTGTCTGTTAGCAACACAGCTTTCTATTGGTGCCCCTTCCAGGTCACTAGGATTTTATTTATCAAGAAATTCACAATTGATCCCTTTACAACTGATGAAATCTATCAAAATCCTTTCAAACATTCTTTAAAAGAATTACAGATTCCTATAAAGAAATTAAAAACTTTCCTCACTGCGCTACTTCTACTCAAGTTTGACACAAGATCTAAACTGATGAAGTAACCAATGCTGGAGTGATGAAAATGAGAGGTGTTGAAAAGTGCAGAATCAAAGTAAAGGAGAATTCTTGGAATGTCGTAGGAAATTCTAGAGGCTGGCTTTGAGTACAAAATTTGAACTTTAAATTTGAGCTAATGTTAGATTGAAAACCAGTGAGCCAGTGAGTGCAAGGGTAAAGGTGATTTGGTGAGAGTAAGGTTACAACAGAAGAGTTTTGAATGAGTTATGGTTTACATAAGGTAAAACATGAGAAATCTATCAGTAAAATTTAAAAACTGACAGTAAGAAATCATTTTACTCAACAAGTGTTCTTCTGTGCAAAGCAAAAACATGCAGTTTAGATATGTAAATGTGAGCAAAGATGTTTCTAATTTCTATGCACACATGACAACTTAAACATTAGGGATGTTGGGAAAAAAATCAACCTTACTGACTTCTCATTACTATTCTGTTTCTTGTTGAAAGATGTGCTCATAGATATTGAGTGAAGAGTGGTATTCTTCATTATTAGGCTGTCTGCTGCACTCACTGTTCATATTAACATATGAAAAATCACCACTTGCTTGATAAACCAAAGAGTGGTAAGCACTTATAGATGTGTACTATTATAAGTGTTAGTGGTTCATGGTATTGGGGAGGCATTTCTTTCAAACACAAAATATTGGAACACTATTGGGAATCAATATTAACTTAGTTTGCCCTTTGGGAATCCCATGGGATCAGGTGCAATGCTGGGTTTATACCAATTAATGCAAATTAAATTTGACATATTGTTGAGAACAAAACTGATGCTGTACCATACAACATTGGATGACAAGTAAGCTGGATAGCAACTTAGATAAAATGATCCCCCCTTTAACTGTCTTGGTGCTCTCATGAGCTAAAAGTGAAAGAGAACCAGTGTATTCTTAAGCATGTTTCCAGATTTATACCATAAACTGCATACGCAGCTGTAGTCATCACTATTGTTTGTTTTACCTTTTGTAATAGAGAGAAAGTCGCACATTTTGTCAATTGCATATTTTTTGTTAATGTTGCACTGATTGTCATTTGTGTGAATGAAGCATGTAATCACATTACAGAAAAGAGGATTACATAAGAAAAATACTTTTTTTTTTACTTTGCAGACCTTTACAGTATTCAGTCTCAAGAGAGTGACACTCTAATGATCACCATGCATGATTCTCCTTGATTTATATTTATCATATGGTACAACTAGCGTGCTGGTATGTTGAATTATCTGTGAATTTATCAGTATTGCACAAGATACAGCTAATCCATTACCAATTTGTAAGACCCAAGACAAAAGTGGATCTATGATGCCATTGAGATGCTGGGGTTATTTCAGCATTTTTGATGAAAACAGTCTACCAGTCTAAGCATTTCCCTTATGTAAACATAGCGACTTTAAGGAATCACATTTTTACCAGTTGCTTTCCAAAGAATAGATTG